ACCGACTACCTCAAATTGTGTTAAGCTATTAAAATGATAACAACCACACTATCAAACGTGACGAAACTTTGACGAAATGTGCAGTAGAATTCTGCATATTAATTGTGAAAGAATGCGTTGCATTTCAGTTGTCGAATGATGACCGAAAATTTGAAAACTAATCGATTTGATCCTTTTCTAGTGAGGATCCTCGCATTTTTTTCTCATGCAAATTTCGTTTCTTTTCTTATCATTTTCAAATATTTAAAAGAGGTTGGGAAAATCATGTGAATAGCAGTCTCATATCATATCTGCCCAATACTGAGAGTATCGCTTTCATTTGAGTCACCTTTTTCATGGAATCTAGCATTCAGTGGAGATCGAATGGCAGATCATTGAACCGGTAATTGAAAATGATTTCATTTGATTGCTTGAAAAATTCCAGTGCTCCTTATGATGATCCTCATAATTAGTGGTCGAGCCAGTTAGTCATGGTGAGTGGCATATTGTAATCTGCGATGTTTCATGCAAGTGAAATTTTTTGCACGAAAATCTGCTTGAACCGTAAGACAACAATACATTTATCCACGGGAACCTGCCCGATCAATGTCCCGATCCAAGCTCAACGATTTTTTTCTGCACTCCAATTCAGATTATTTTGCAGACATATAGTTTTTGCATGATATCCATTCGTTGCAGTGATTCAGTTCGTTCAATCTAAATTTCATGTTACGAACGACGTTTTATGAGTGAAACGCGCAAATTATGAGCGATTTAATGAGTAGCAAAAATACTTTCCAAGCGCAAACTCGTATTATAACAGATTTGTACTTATAAATCCCGAAAATAATTGCTTCATTATCTCTCATATCGAGTCAACTCGCTTCCGAGTTGTCGGGTATTTTTGTGCGAAAATCTCGCGTCTCGCACTCATTTCATTTTCGACTCCCGTCGAGATTCGCTCGTCTCACGTCCATTAAACTCTTTCGAATGATGCCAGAGCTATACCAGAGGCAACGCTTCTGAACCGTTGTCGGACTGTGATTTTCACTTCAATACTCCTCAAAATGTCATTGAAGCAATGAATATCCAACAAAATGTTATTTTTCGATCATCAACATGTTCATCCTCAGTTTTGCTCAGCAAATTATAGGTTCCTCATCTTCTTCTAACTGATGATAACCTCTCAGCTGATTATGCTTGCGGAAGATTCTCCAATGATGGCTCCAAATTTCCTGAGTTAACGATCCGAGTTTTCTTGTTTTAAGCATATGTCGTTTAAGTTCACAGTACGATCCTATAATATTCCCTATTTTTCTTGTGTAATATTCCCTGTTCTTCTTGTTTTTCTCATGCTCTCAGCCTTGCTAAAATGCAACTTAGTATTCTTAAGTGAAGATGCTCTTCTAATTCGTTAGCACTGGTTATTTGTTCATAGTCGTCAGTAAATGAAACTTTCGTAATCATTTGATCCATTGATCCTTGATCACTGCAGATGACCACAGAAAGTACGAACATCTTAGTACTTTCACTGTTGTTCGTCTTCCTTGTTTGTGTAATCAACACTGAGGGTCGACTATTTGGTATTGCGAAACGTCAAACAAGTAATTTCTTTCTCCTTTACGTGGTGTTTTGTAGATGAGTTCATCTCAGAAGATAAATCTAAACTTTTGAGATGAGTTTATCCTCCCAACCGGAAATATATACGTTTCCCACTCGAATAGATTACTCTATCCCAAAAAAGTATTTTCATCTTCGAAAATGAATATTATAATTACGAAATAAGCATTCATCCTCTAACGGACCCAATTTTGTAGTTTTCTCATAGCGCAAGTGCCTTTCGTGGTTGACTATTGCAACGAAGTGAACCGCGTTGATACTACACCATTATCGTCAATTATCGACTAAATCCCCTCTCCCTTCATATGATAGTAATAAATATTCAAAACTTTATGACATTCAATATGAATAATGAATATATGGCTAATGATTCGAAATGAGTCGAACTGCAGTAGTGTCATCGAATGCGAAAGCAAACGGAACGGGCGATCATGTGAATACGTCAGCACTTTCGAATCAGTACAAAACGGCTGGTGGTGTGATTGGTGTGAACGTTTCGGCTGCTGGTAATGCGACCGGTAATCACACATCTGCGATTGACGCCAAAACATTCGGCTCAGTCGGCAACACAAGTCAGTTTTTGCCGTCACTTGCGTTAACTTGCCTCTGAATTCTATTTGCTCCTATAAACGCATTGCATTGTTTAGCTCAACATTCATGAATGTTGATGAAGTTTCAAGCATTTCGATGTGAATAATTTGAAGTTGAATAATTGTGATCTTGATTGCTCATTCAAGTGATCAAATATCCATTTCGATGATTGCAGGTATACAGGGCACTGGCAATGTGGCATCGAGTGGTGCGAGTTCGTCAAGCTCGAGCGATATTCATGGCGAAATCTATGGTGGTAATCAAACTCTGACAAGTTCACAGAAGGGAACCGGAACAGGACCAGGCGATACGTCGGCTAGCGCCAGCGGCGATAGTGTTATTAAGCAGGGCGGTCAGAACAGTCCTTATAGTAAGTTAAAATTCTTATGAAATCAATGAAAGCTGCAAAGAATACACTGTAATTGAGTGTATTTATATTTGAGCTTAACGATATCGCGTTGCAGAGCAATATTGAATTGTTTGCTCAATTTCGGTTGGTGTTTCGTGAGAGTGGAGAGTCTTTATGAGACTGGATGGAATCTTGTAAAATGTTAATGTTTTTAGGTGGTATCAATAATCAGGCAAATGCTGGTGCAACCGGTTCACTGAACTCATCATCAAGCGTAAGCGCAAATCAAACACTTACATGGCAATCGATTATTGAGCACTTGGTGGGACAAGCCGTTGGTCATGGTATCGGACATGCTCAGTCAAATGTGAACTTGAACGGTGGAAACAGTGAAAATGGTCAGTTGACGGTTTCGTGAATTGCAGTTTCGTGATTCCACTTGCTTGAATTCCTGAAAGTTTGCTAAAATTTTCGCAAAATTCCTGTGCAATCCATTGAAGAGCTATTTGTAAATTTCATACGGTTTGGAGCAGTCATCGATAGTACTGAATTCGGTTTTGTTCAGTTCCTAAATAGTTGTCATGTCCTTATGAGTTTGTTCTCAAAATTTTGGGCGTATGTTGTACGCGGTCAGCGACGGTCATTCACAATGGTAAGTGAAAGAGGATTACATTTCAAATCGCTAAAATGATCATTCAAATGAGAAGAATATACTTTGCTAAGCCACATTGAGCTGCTTATCGGTTCTTCAGGGATTTCGGCCAATGGTGTGGTATCCGGAATAAATACTGGTAACGGTGTGGTCTCATCTCAGACTGATGCGAACGCAACGATGAAGAACGGTGTGCATAATGTTAGTGAATCGTTGGTGGGTAGTGTGCACGGCTCAAAAAACACCTCGTTGGTGAGTGCGAGTAATGTGCAAAGTAACGTATCGGGTACATCCAATAGTGAGTCTCCATTACTTTCTTTCGCAAAACTCAACTTTTGACAGGTGCATCCGTGAACATGTTGATTTCGTTTCGAAATAGACGAACAAGACATTGAGTTCTCGCGATGATGGCACAGTTTTAACTTTGATCGCTCCGTGAATGATACACTTATTTGCCTGATTGATTTTGATCATTTGCATAACTGTACCCGACAATCAGGAATGAGACGTGATGAAGATGCTTGATCGGTTCCGCCTTGAGCAGTCATCATTTTACAGCCGTCACCTCATTTGGTGATGCAAAGGTGAACGCAGATGGTTATGGGCATGCTTCCGTGAACTCGAACAGTCAGGTGAACGCGTTGAGCGGTACAAATGGAGCGAATGCAGTAAGCGGTTCTGCAAACGGCTCGAATAGTAACGTGAACATCAGCAATGGACTGCAAGTGAACAACAAAAACGGCGATACAAGTGAGTTGCGTTCGACTGAAATCGGCTCGGCATGATAGGGCAACTGTCAACCTTTGAGTGAACTTCTTCTGCAAATCGCCTCACGTATCGTCATTGTTTACCCTGACAGATTTACAGTAATGATTTTATTGGTGGTAATGAACAATACCTATCAGTTCTATTTTCATCGATTCAGTGAGAGAGTGCTTTTGACATGACCAGAAATGGAGTCGGTTCAGTCAGACAAAGATAGCGTTCATAATTAGCGAAACATTAATAACATTGCAATACTGCAGTTGCGATGGGTAGTGGCCAAGTGCAAGGTACAGGTAGCAGTGCATCGAACACCTCACTGAATACGAATACCGTCTACAACAATGACGGTCAAGCATCAGTTCAGGTCAGTGGCAAAGGTGATGCCACTGGCCATAATAAGACATACGCAATCAATATCGATACTAATGGACAGTTGTCGAATCCGAATGGCGTCAATAATAGTGAGAATTTTCTGGAGTAATTATCGTTCCTAGATGAAATCGTTGGGAATAACTGAAATAAGTTGAAACAACTCTCATTCAACTATGAATAATATGTTTTTAAAATCATTGTTTTATTCCTTGCTGATCCAAGTAGCATTTGATATTGGCGATTCTAACTGTAGGATGTGAAAATTTCAGTTAGTTCAATAATGTTATGATTAGTTTGCTTTGCAAATGATTATGGATTTCTGAAGTCCACTCGAGATATGACCAATGAATCTCTTTGAATGTCTGAAAAGTTTATTTTCGACTTCATATATAATGTTGTTATGATAGTTGTTGAGGATGATGAATTCTTAAACATACTCGCATCGGTTTTTCTTTCAAAAATCAGCTGCCTCCGGTGGTACATCTGGAGTGGCGCATGCGGAAACGAGTAGCTTAAAGGGCAGTTCACATTTCACGATGACCGCAAACGGAACGGATGGTCAGTCAACAATGACTGCTCAAGGTGGTGGCGTAGGATCATCAAGCGCTCTAACCTCAGCCAATATGCAAGTGAACGGAGATAGAAGTAATCAGGATTTTCATTGTGCATCTGATTTTAGTTTTCCGTTAATGGTCGAAGCAAAAAGTTTGCACTTTCTGAACATCCATGCTCTCGAAATAGCAATAATTGAGACGATCATTGTATCACTCACGTGAGGTTGATTTCGCAGTTTACGTTTTTCTTGAAACGATTCTAAATGATCTCCTCGGTTGATCAGATCTTTATCAGATCAGATTAGATCTTCTCGATCCAAATCAGTAGTTGATCAGATCTTCTTCAGAGATGAACGTACAAGGATCTGTTTCGGCAACAGGCGCTAGGAGTTCGGTGCATTCCCTGTCGTCCCTGACCGAGAAAAATGGTGTTCAATCGTTAACGAACTTCCAAAACGCCACTTCAGAATCGCAAGGCTCAAGTTCAGCTTCAGCATCTAATGTCAGCGTGCTCAAACGGAAAAAGAAATCAACATAAGACACCCTGTGTCTTTGTTCTTGCTTACATTAGTGAAATTTAAGACATTATTCGTTATTCATTCAATCACGTATACTCCAACAGAAAACAATTGCCACATATATCATTGTTATCATGCAATTCATTCATTTATATCTCTTTCATTCGATATAAACAAACTAATCGTAAGTGACTAAGTTATGTGAGAACATGATGATAACAATAATAACGCTGTTGAATCGATCATGTTTTCGACTTATCGCAGTGCAGCATGGAATTTATCGTCAACGTAGTAGTTGCGTTTCGCTATCAACAAATGTGCATAGCGTAAACGAAATTTGTTACACACCCTAGTGCACATACACATTTTGCATTTATTCGTTTCTCTCGATGATGACGTTAAACCCGTTCATCGTTCGCTACAGCGTGAGGAGTCTTGTGGTGACTACGATCCTCATAAACTTACCTGNCGGGATTGGCCAACAGCATAATTTTTGCGTTTGGGGACAGCGTTCGCGCTTCCCCGCTTTGAAATTAGATTGAATTTAGATTTATGATTAAAGGATCATTGTAACACTCCTCACCAAAATTTCATCGCTAACGAGGTGTGCGGACCTCAATGTAACCACCACCATAGTAATGCAACCGACAAACGTGAACGCAAAAAACGTGATGAGCAAAGAGTTTATTGTTGTCCTAAGTCAAAATTTACTCCACAGTACGAAACGCATGAACCACCAAAAGACGCCTCAATGGAATTGATCGAGAAAAGTAATTGAACGACTTGATTTAATAGCTCTGTACAGAAAACGAACCAGATTCAAATAAGGCATTCATCTGATATGGTAAGTTAACTGAACACTTGTAGATGTATTGGTATCACAACATGATGAACAATTTTTCACGGTGATGATTGTAAAATCAAGATATGCTGATGAGATGGATCAGATTCAATATAGCGATTATGCTATTAATATTTTAAATACCATAGCAACATTCCAACAAGGGATCATGGTTTTTGAGGACATATTGATGGAAATAATTCATAAGTATTCATTTAATCATTAAACAACCATTGCAAAAATATCATCAAATAATGAATTCATCGAACTTAAGTCAGCGCAAATCAACTACTTTTTTTGTTCTACGACGAAGGTTGATCTGCTTGAAATACTTCATCAGAATCACTGTCATACGATCCACTCAATAGAGGAGCATTAATTTTTTTAGTGATTTTGGTTAACAATTTCATTATTTGTGAATATTTCCGCGCTGGGCGCTATCTCTCGAAAAAGAAAAGGTATTACATGATAGGTTATTAGAACGTATTTTAATGACGAGATGTACCATTCAATTTCAAAACCTCAGCCACTTGTAGCAATTTGTCATAATCTTCCTTCGTTCCCGACGACAGCAGCTTTATTTGACTATATACGGCATTTTGTTCCATTTCTTCATCTTTATTGCAATAATCTTCATCACAACAACAAAATGTACCATCGTGTCTTTCGTCTGTGAGGCCGTAATATGGTACCTCAGGAACACAGTAAGTGAAATTCACTTTTATTGTCGGCGGAATGGTAGGCAAATTATTCGATGGCATACTGTTTGTCGTTTTGATTAGCTGAAATTGGATTACGGAATTAGAATGAATCGGATACCACATACACTGAGCACACTCTTAATGTTCGTTCGATAGACTGAAAATTCAATGCAACAATACCATTCAGCGTAATTCATCAAAACAGTTTACCCATTTCCAGGTTTTGTAATATATTTTAGGCGTTGCTGAACTGATGCGATATGCAGGTGATAAAAGTTTACGAAAATCATACTCTCGATATGTGGTTGGTCAGTGAACATCTTAAGTTGTGAACTAAATGTGATGCTTGTTCTTAAATGAGATCAACTATGGATTCGGGTTTAGTGTTTGTGAGCCGTTGAACATCAAAAATCAAAACGTGCAATCGAAGTTTCCTGCGATTGCGCCAATACTTTCATTCTTGTTATGCTCTGTGGTTCTGTAGGCCGTAAGTGACCATCCGAGTGGGACTATTGAAAAATCGAGCGAGAAGGATGACATAAAATAATGTCACTGTTCAGTTCAGCACCTCACACATGAACACATGGTCACAACCACGTAGGTATTTGTCAGTGTCGGTCATCTCGTTCATAATATCCTGAAAGAAACACATGCCGTCTGGTCCACAGTCCTCTTCTTGTACATTATCTTCAATATTCGAATGACACATAATCGCCTCGGATGGCCACGCCAGCAATAAAAGCTGCCCGAAGAGCGTCCACAACAGAAACTGAAAGAAGAAATTTCAATGGGAACATTCGANNTTTTTGTCCTTGCGATGCGATAATTACGAATTTGAGTAATACTAATCCATGATATGGTGTTTTCGGTAATAACAAGCCTATTTGGTCTATGGATACACTTAAGACTCGTCTCGTGGCTCGTTCATGAACACATCCAGATGGCCACGATCACAACAACGAATTCGTCAGCCGTAGATTAAAACAAACCGAAACCATTGAGATGACCCTAGCGGCCATCTTATTGCCGTCCTAATCTTCAAATGACATGAAGCGAAGTAAATGATACCTTTATATAAGGTCATTCATTGGAATTTGCATAGTGGATCGATTATGCATGAGAATTTTCTTACTTTTGATACCAATTAATGCTAATTAATACGCATTACTCATTCAGTTTTCGGAACTTTCTCAGTCAACCTTCTTAAAAAATCCTTCGTCATCAATTCGAGAACGTGGCAAAAATTACGCAATATAATGACATTTATTGGATCCATTAAAGTTTACCAGTATTGAATCACAGCTCATTTAGACACAAGTTTTTTTCTTATATTCATTATTCTGATCACAAACGTGAAAACTGTGTTCACGTCCAGTGAAAAACATGTCGAACTGTTATTAGTAGTTATTGGTCGTATTTTGCATTTTGTTTGCTGCTCTCAGATGCGGTCATCACTGATATTTTGATAGGTGCTTGCTGGATGGATGGACGACGACTTGTTCAAACGCTAACACAGAAAGAAAAGTTGCAAATACGCTAGTACTGAATATTTATGCGAAAATTATTTTACAAATGTTCGNGCATAAACGCTATGAACTGAATGTGTCATATTCAGCGTGAACATTCAAAAGTAAAACATTCATAACACATTACTCGACGTATTCGAGTGAACTTTAGACCCAGTGTTTCTGAACATAAGCAATATTGTCCTTCGGCAAATATTGTACAAGGATAAATCAGGCCAAAGAATAAACAGTGACCTTTAAGCGTTTCGAAATTACTGCAGCTTTATTCGTTATTTCTAAGTGTCTCAGTAAATGCGACTGCAAGTGGAAAGAAAAATGGCAGCAACTTGGCCACAGTCTTCGTTCAATTGTTGACCAAAAACGCCTACAGAACCACTGTTAGCGATAAGTGACTTTTCGAGGAACAAATTGGTTACTTAGATGAAAATGACAAGAGAGCATGATAAGTTCGTTAAACTGGAGTAAAGTGAGCATGAGCAATATAAAGTGCAAATAAGAAATAGATCAGAGTTGATTGTTGTTCAGTTAGATTTCTTTATGGTCTCGGAGTTCGTACAAGATCGAGTGACTCCCGTTTCGGAAATATTTTTCGGAAGATTTCCGAGTTCTTTGTTGATTCTATCATAAGCTTTTACCATCCGTTTACGACATTCCTCTGCAAGTTCGTTGACATCTTCGAATAATGTTGAGTCTATTGGAGGTAGCGCTTCAATGATAACGTGACCACCGTAGTCGAATTTGAATTCGTCCTGAAAATTACGTAAATTTTGACATTTCGAGTAAGTCAAATGAAATTTTTTAGCTGTTTGTGAGCGGTGCTTTATCGTGGAATTTTGATCATAAGGTAGAACTTTCGGATTTTATTGTCTGAGAGCAATCAATGAAATTCGAGATGATCTCTTAGACTAATCATAATGAAAAGATTGCTACAAAATACGGAATCGGTTGGTGAGAAAATTCATCAACAGAATCGTACAAATGTGAAATAATCGCACAGAAATGTGAAGCAAATAAGTTACTAAATTACTAAATTGTAGAAGTTTTTGTACGATGTAACAACCACAGGAACGATTGGCACCTGAAAGAGCAGAACATTTTCACTTGTTTCTCTTCTTGAGCACTAATGTGTTCAACTTGAAAGGATCTCATACAGCATGAAAACACAATAAAATTCTCGTTCAATAATAGTTTTCGCCAGTTTACTCAAATGCAAATTTCAAAAAATGCGCTCCTTCTTCTGTTAAAAGGCTCACAAACTTGATCTGCAGAGAGCTTCATCCATTAAGTGAGAACTCTGTTCAGTAATCTCATACTCCATAGCAACAGAACTGCAAAGAATGAAACCTTTGCATGAGAAGCCACTATGAAGGCGCCTTTCTTGAACGGCAACAGCTCATCACCAGAACCACGAGTTCCCTCTGGGTATATCCAAACCTTTCGCTGAATATCAATAAGTGATTGAAGCAGATGCATACAGATGGAGAAGATAAATTAAGCCTCACTAGTCTAGAGATGCTTAAATTTATGTTTTATTGCTCACCAAGAATAACCAAAATGAACTTTTCAGAGGCTTGAAAAGCCTCGCCTATTCCAAATAAAAGTCATTTGAGTTTAACAACTTTTTCGAACAATTTGTATTGGTTCGTGAATTTGAGCAGAGGCGTGCGTCATTCTTGATTACCAATTTTGTGAACTAACTTTCTTCTGCAGGATTGTATCGGTTACTTGCTCCAACGATTTATGCGCATCGTTTTTGTTGAAACGATTCACATAAATTGAGTTTGCCAAGTACGTGCAGAAGTTGAAACCGGGTAAAAATATTAGGCTCTTCTTCAGAAACATCACACAATTTTCCGGCCATATATACGACATCGCTAAAAACATGCGTTTTCTTTATCACTGCTGTTATCAATTATTATTGATATCAGTTATCTAACTGATATCAATGACAATGTAATGAAATATTCTACATAATCATTCCATGAAGAATATTTGCATTTGTTTTGCAAGTGAATGAAATTTTGCGTATTTTATTAATTGTAAGACTTTTTGCACAATCATAACAAATTTTTGTGTTGTTCATGTTTTGTACATGTGATAGTGCATTCAACTGGTATGCATCTAACATGGTGGGCATTCTTATCATTGAGTGCTCTTATCACATCGCCTTAAATGAGAATGTGCTAAAATGATAAGTTTTTGCAAAATGTTGAAAGTATACACAGATGAAAAAATCTGCAGTGTATGATCTCGCCGCAACTTTTAAAATACATCGACAAAACCCTGTATGGCCTAATAATTCCCTCCACACCAATTGAATTAGAACTTATTCGTGATGTGAACGATGAGTTTAGGATGTTCATAAGATGAACAAGAAATCCTTTATGATATGGCTGTGCATAAGCAACCACGTTTCTCAACATTATGAAATTCATAATCAGATGCGTGGATAACATGAATGCTACGGTTTTTCTAAAAGTTTCCTGTGAAAATCGCAGCATGTTTTGATGAAAACTGAACTGAACGCATAAAAAATTGCGACAGAATGAACTTGATTAGGAAGTTGATTAGTTTGAAAAAAAATTATCACACATACTTAGCACATCTAGAACACTTTGATGATTTGCTATCAAGATATACGGCTCATCGGATTCAGTGTATTGCATATTACGCAATTCCAGCTTTAAACCCAACCAAAAAGTTGAGCACTGAAAGATGCGAAACATCCGGCTGTAAACATTACAGTTGATTATTCAGAGAACTCAGCAAATAATTGTAAGCAATTCCATTAGATATGTTGAAATAAGGAAATTTCCATAGGTTATTCAATCTCTTTCGTTAAATCTGTATTCTAACCGTACTATTAAGCGACAAAATGATTCACAATCAATGTTTCACGTACAAGTCACCGAAAAACACTACGGAAAGCATCTCAAGTATTGCTAGACGTGAAGTTTCATGATTTGCAGAAGTGTATGCCCATGCTCGTGACAGATCACTGACCCAATAAACAACATCAATTCCGGTTAGCTTCAATCGCAACCGGAGGCCCTTCAAAAATTTGTCGAGCAACTTTCAGATGCAATTTTAGAATTTCAGATTTCAACCTCGTGTCAAAATATGAAGACGATATTCAAATGACTAGAAGGAATACGTGCACTACTAACTTTATAGCAGTGAAGCAAAAAAAACTTACAAATGATTTTTCGGCGTTCTTCCATACGGAACCGAGATGAGTGCGCCAATGAAAGCTGACGAGAGAAAGCAAAAAATGAAGAAAGACAGCCTGCAATGAAATCGGAATTGTGCAGAAACTGAGTAAAGAACCGGAACGATGAGTAGTAATATGAGCAGGAATAAACCCAAATATTCACTGAACGACGTTTCAGTGGTCATTATTTGAATTTATCAATTGCGATGGTGTGCACGATAAAAGCGTCTTTTTATTTTACGGTGTAACAGACCTGAAATGAAGCAAAATCATTATTCAGATTCATTGAACACTTGAAGTTCGGTAGGATTTAAATGTAAAACGATAACAAATTTATGGTTCATTTTGCGATAGGCGCAGCCAACAAGATGTGACAGAAAGGACATTTCAATGAATTGAATCACTCGATAAAAACAATGAGAAAGTTTATTTTCAGGCGTTTAAAAATTTAAAAAATGAAGGATCAGACGAAGAACACTTCCGAGAAACTTGAAGAAAAGCAAAGGAAACATCAAACGTAGATGAGATAATGGTAAAATGGAAAAACATTCACGGGGAATGCAATCAGAAATTCAATTTTCAG